CAAATGTAATAAAATAAAGTGGAAATGATGTTATATGATATGTATAAAGAGCTGAATCTAATATTTTTGCAAGAGCAGTAGTTGGTGTTGTGAAGAAAAATGCAGCAACAATTGTTGCTGGTATAGTCATAATCAAAAAGAGAAATGTTGTAAGAACCAAAGTAATCGATATAGCTCGATGTTGAATACGTGAATTTTGAATTATACGTGTATGACGATGACGGATCAAATGATAGATAACACCACTATTGAATATAATCATTAATATGAATGGTGCACAATTATATAAACCTAAATTAATATAATCCCATAGTGGATATATTTTATATAGTTGAGAATTAGGATTAATTGAACCATTCGATCTATAAAAACAAGTAAAAATTAAAAAATGTAAATTGAATAGCATAAAAAAGAGAATAATGCTTGTAATAATGATGAGAACACTTTTTTGATGACTAAACCATGTACGATGAAGACGACTTGCTGATAAATATCGATCAAGACAAATAAATACACGAAGCCAAGCTGATGATTGTGAAGCAAAGTAGTTAAGAAATCCAAAAATCTTGCATGTTGCAATTGAATATGTTAGAAGTATATATCCATGCACAATTTGTAGATAATGATCAAGATTCCATCCATATAACATAAGAATATCAAAAATAGCTATTGTACGCATGTAATGAATTATTGGTTGTTTTTTTGTATCTTTGAATGTTGGTCGACAAAGAATAATGAATGTTAAAAGATTTAGTAGAGTACCAACAATGATTAAAGTGAATGGATAATAAGCAACAATCAAAGCTTCGCTTGACTTGACACTTGTTGCTGTAGTGTTGTTTGACATCGTAGGATGAATTATGATTGAAAATTCTTTTCTTCTTATTATGATCAGATTATTTGAATAAAATCAAAAAAAGAACAGAAAAAATGTACTACTACTGAACCTGTTGTGTTCTCTTTTCAATCTATTATATATTATTTAGTGTCAACAATTTGTTTAAAACATGATTGAAAGACAATAGGAATGAAATGAATAAGAGTTCTTACATATTATATACGTTCATAATTTGGTTAGATAAAGTTGTTACATTCCGAATTTCTCCTAAATCAACCACACTATCGTGATAGGACTTTTTTCGATATAGTGTTCTATCCTATATAAAGTATGCCTTAATACTACCATGTTTGTCTCTTTTGGTGTGACATATTCTATATTTTATAGAAATACAAACTTTGTTTCTTTTTTCCAATGAATGAAATGAGAGCTATCATGTTTATTTCGTCTGAGAAGCCACACTAATGATAAAAAAGAAACAATAGCAGGACATGATCTTATGTAGTTTGATGAGATGAAAACTTATACATGTATTCTACGTCGAGAATTGTGAACGCTGAGACAGATTAGATGAAGCTGTAATCTCTACTCACAGAAAAATATATGCTAAAAAAGTGCGACTTCTACAAAAGTATGTACTCATCGTCATCATTTTCAATTTTAGGAAATGCAGGTCATACATTAGCTCTCAAAATTATCCAACAAGGCTTATTTTCAAGTTTTGTCCGGTTACTTGAATGCTAAAAAGAATTCAAATAGTGATCTGAATAGAGACAATTGTTTCCAACAAAGATCTTAGAAAATGAAAGAGATTACTTGACTTCTAAAGGCAGGATCTCCAGACAATCGAAAGTCTAATTGTTCAGCATCTAGAATATGCAAATATAATTTTATTTGAACTACATAGAATGATAGAGTAAACAATTCTCTACACAAAATAAGATGTTCTGAAACTCTCTACAATGTTTTTTTTTGATCGAGATAATCAAAAAACATATTTGCAAGTTCTAGATACTGAAAAATTAGATTTTTAGTTTTCTGAAGACTCTGTCTTTGGGAATCAAATAATCTCCGCTGTTGTTTAAGATTCTCATTGGAAACAATTGTCCCTACTCAAATCACTATTTAGATTCCTTTTAGCATTCGAACGACTGGGAAAAAAATTGAAAATTAGCCTTGTTAGATAATTCTGGAAGCCACTGTATTAATAAAGAAATTTACTAAGATGTTACTTGCTGATGGATCATCAACTAATGTTTAATCTCTATAGAAGAACATCAATTTTCAGAAATGAGTCCTCAGTATTATCTCATCAGGCGAAGATGATTAAAAAAATACTTATTTCAGTACAAAATAGAGATGTATTTGAATATCCTCTACTACTTGCATATGCTTTTACATGTTCAAATCTTTCAGAACCCAAAACCATACTTTTTAGTATGGTAGACATCTCACAAAATTTCGTGAACGTTTAACTACTCGCTAAAAGAATAGTCTATAGAAAAAGTTTGACGCTAACATTTCTTCAAACTTTTTGTGCGTAGATCCTTAGTTTGAATACTCACTTTTGTAAATATATTTCCTTTTCTATTTTATATTGTGAAAGGTAGTTAGAAATAACTGTTGACAAAAATAGCGATATAAAAAATAATCTCTTTGTGTTCACAAAGTGTAAAATGCATGGTTGACATGCCCAAGAAATTTATCGTGAATAATGACAGACATGATTGATGATTGTTGTGCACAATTGAAGCGGTTTCATCATTTTTCATATTATAATTTTTTAGAGGTTAAAATAGACTTTTTTTTCATCAAAGTATTGCGTTTCTCTCATTTGAACAATGTAATATAATTAGAACAGAGATGTCCTCTATGGGCTAACACGTCTTTTGAGCACTAAAAAAAGACAATTGAGCATCTAATTAGCTATCTTTGAAAAGAGCACTAAAAAGTAAGACAAATGAGGACCAAATTTATTACACATGAAATGAGCACCAAAAAATAAGACAATCGACCACCAAATTCAAACATGTGAAATAAGAACAAAAAATTTTTATATTAATAACAAAAAATAACAAACAGGATACCTAATAGATATGAGTACTAAATCAATATACAAAAAAAAAAATGAAAAGTCCATTTTATAATAATAAAGCAGATCATACTTTTTTTGCTCGACCTTTTGCTCATCGTTTACCAAAAAGTTTCGAACGAGTTTTATCAGTTAATTCATAATGTTTCAGTAATATTGCTAAGCCAACTGAATATTTGTATCAATATAACTTCGTACCAGTTGGATATGTACATGATTTGAGTGGAGAAACTAGCAAACAAGATGTGGGTGCAAATGTGAGGAGAGGATCTACTCGCGCACCCATATCCACACCCTTAATTAGCTTTATCAAGTATTTGGACGGTAATCAAAAGTTGATATTCTTTGTTTGGCATTTTATGGTTCTTCACAGAAATGTGTATTGTTATAACTCTCAAATTTGTCGTACATATATAGTGTTACTCGTTTGCATACCATAATTTACAAAAAGGAATGAAATTATACAATTTAAGTTGAGCTTGTCACAACTTAGCATCTGTATATACCCGAATAATACTTTGATTCTTTTAAGATAGAATTGATGTATCTCTTCAATACCTTTTTTTATTTGGTAGTCAATTGTCTTTTTGTTTGATGTGCCAAGGACATTTTTTCCTCCTCTATTTGTTATCTAAGCGGAAAGTTTTTTTAATTTACAAGGTCTTTGATAATACTGGAAAGATAATAAGAAAAAAAATGAAAGATAACAAGATGAAAAGATCCGATGCGTAAAAATAAATAGAATTATAATTAGAAATTTTTAAGTTTAATTAAATCTCTAACTAAAAAATATTTTTATCAATTCATTTACTAGATCGACAAGGATGGAATTTTTCTGGATTTTGTGACAATTTATGATTTTACTAGGTTTACAATAGAGAAAATAACAGCTATCTGATGGTATTTTGCAAGCTAGTTTCTGTTTTTAAGATCTTATCGCTTCACTCTCCTTCATCCTTTTATTTCACTTTAATTACTTAGGCATTAAGAAAACCAGTAAGTATTATTAAAAAAAAAGAAACAATAGAAAAGCTTCATAACGCAGATTGCTAGACTTTGAAGATAATTACATTTTTTCCATCGATCAATATAATGTTACTTTTGTGACGGAACAATGACATAGTTCTTCTCCAAACAACTCACATCTTCCATCACGGCTATTTCTATTCCTTTCTTGAATTTACAAGATAGATTATGTTTTTAAACACATTCTATGTCTATTTTATATTTGGCAATGCGTGTGAGAAAGATTTTAAAATGAATACACATTTAGACAATATTTGCACTGATGACAATCGTGTAATTGTATCAGAACTCTGCTTCACTTATGGCAAATTATCGATCAGTATATAATCCAGAAGGAATCCCTGTGTGTCATAAAATAATAACTCGTGTACTATGATATTAACATATATACTATTCTCAGTTATATGAGAATTTTTGTCAGTATTTCTAGGAAAAGGTATACTCTGCCACTACTTTGTTTGAAGTTTTTATG